CACACACACACACGCGCACACACACACACACAGATAATTCATCTTTGCAGCATGCCACATTTTGCTCAAGTTTCTCTTTTATTCCAGTTTAGCAGAGCACGCAGCGAGCCCTGCACTTCTGCCGGGCCGGACCTTCCTGCTCCTGCCCTCCAGCCCCCCTCTCCCTCCTAAAGCTGCTTTTAACCTTGGCAGTTATTTTTCAATTAGCTGCATGCACAAATCTCTCTTTTCCCCCCTACCCCCCCACCCTTTTTCTTTCTTTCCAGACGCCTACCAACAGCCCCTGGAGCTACCAATGAAGTCGTCATATTTGCGAGCTCCTTTAGATGTGGAGCAGCTCCATGGCTTTCCTTGTGGCATATAAAATATAATTAAAACACACACACACACATACAATCAAGGCAGTGGTAACCCCCACTCCGCACAATTGACCCGTTCGCCGAGGTGACTCTCAAGGCTCTACCGAGAGTCACAGGGTAAAGTTTAACTGCAAAGCAAGAGAGACATTTCGAGGAGGGAAGAGGCAGGAGGAAATGTTCCTACACGAAAAGGAGCCCTAACGCAAGGAAAAGCACAGCAACTCTTGGGAAGGAGAAGCAAATAAATAAATAAATAAATAAAAATAAAGGAGCACTTGCAAATGGTGAGGAGCCCACTGCCAGATGCGGGCTATGAATTCTGCTAAAACGAGAAGGATCGGTAAATAGGTTATAAATCGCGATTTGTATGAAGGCTTTAAGGAGAGGGTGGAGTTTGATGGAGAAAGAAAATGAGCAGCGTGGTAAAAAAAAAATGAAAAAAAAAAAAGAAAGATGACAGGAGTAGAGAAACCCGGTTCAGTCACAAACTTTCCTTTGAACGCATGGAGGGAAAACAAGGCCAAATCCCGCACAGAAGCCCCTCCAGGGCACCGGGAAGCCACATACAGTAGCACATTCCCCCTCTCGCCTGCTTTTTTTCTTTTATTATTATTATTATTTCCTTCCCCCTTTTCTTCTTTCCTACTTACACGTCTTTCATCTTTCTTTCGGGAAAGACGAGGCTGGGAATGGCTCTAGCGGGAAGCGTTGTGGGTTTCGAAAGAAACGGTGGGGCGGGAGAGGGGGGAAGGAAGCTGAATGGGAGCACATCTCGTACGGAGAGCTGCGTCTCCCCCCACCTCCCCGCCACGCTCGTGCCAACAATAGACAAAACCCCATCCACGCGCGGAGCCACGCGCGGGGACGGCGGCTCCACGGAGCGAGCGGCCGTAACCCGGCATCGCGGGCACAATGAGCGGGGAAAGGGGCGAGCGCGGCGGGGCCGGGGCAGGGGGTGGGGAGGAGCGGGAGGAGGCACGAACCGAAAAGCAGGAGCAGCCACCAGCAGCCACCATCGACAACAACAACAGAGCCCGGCGCAGGGCTGCCAGATGGAGAGCAGGCGCAGGCAGGGATTGACACGGGCACGTAAACAGAGAGAGCCCTAGGTCGCCATGGAGAGCTGCAAATATATATATATATGTGTGTTTGTGTATATATATATATAGATGCATGTCTGTGTGTCTACGGCCGCTCGCACACTCGCACACACGCACACAGAGAGGCAGAGGGAGCGGTAGGGTAGTAGGGAAGAGATATTCACCTTCCCGCCTCATGCCCACTTTGAGGCACTTCTTGAGGCGGCAGTACTGGCACTGGTTGCGGTGGTGCTGGTCGATGGGACAGTTCCTGTTGGCACGGCATGTGTACGTTAAGTTCCTGCGGACGCTCCTCTTGAAGAAACTTTTGCAGCCCTCGCAGGTGAACTGGCCGTAGTGCTTGCCGCTCGACTTGTCCCCGCACACCACGCACTCGATGTGCTGCTGGCTCTGGCCCGAGCCCTGCTGCCCGGGGCCCTTGTCGCCGGCCGTGCCCGGCGTGGAGGGGGGTCCCGGCTGGCTGGGGGTCTGCGGGGTGTGCGGCGCGGCCGAGCCGCTCTGCTGCTGCTGCGGCGGCTGCTCCCGGGCCGGCTGCGCTGCGGGGTTGGGGCCGCTCGGGGTGCCCCCGGCCACGTCTTCCTGCGGATCGCGCCAGCTGCTAACTACCATTGCCATATCTCGGGCCCACGGAAGTGCTGGGGAGCGGCGCTTCTCGCTGCGGGCT